ACACAGAAATTTCTATGAAAACATATGGACATTTATACTGAGTAATACTGAATTTAGAGAGGGCACCAACCTTATGAAGTGGATAAATGAAAATTGCAACCTGTGACGGAAAAACACTGACTCCATTATAGTGAATGAACACAAGAGTGGAGAGAGTGCCATGGAGGAGAGCTGGACACACAACTAATTGTAGAAATACAGACCTATACAATCCATGGGCATACACATTACAAAACAGTGGGACAACATCCTTCTACAGTGTGCCAAATTCAGCTTTAAATGGTCAAAAAGGGAGGCTTTTCTGCTTATCAGCAGTATTTATAAAAACTTTAGGCCATGGTAATTAAATAAACTATTCAAGAGTTAGGTATGCTGGCATTTAAATTCTTCTAGGCTGATATTATTTCCACACAATTCAGATGAAAATTTAGGAGAGACAGAGAAGCTTTAATTTGCCCTCAGTTCCTACTCGGAGATGCAGGACTTTGGGAAGCTGCATTGTGCGCAGCACCTGGGAGAGCGATGATCTGCTTCTGCATAAACGACCGAGCTTGATGTGCTCCTTCCCCTCCTGGAAGGGGGCAACAACAGGGTACTCCCAAAGACACAGAATCCATGGGATCCATGGATGTATCTGGCCCACTGCTACATGCCTTTGATCAAACAACTGAATTTATTTACTAGCCAATTTTGGAGCTGCCAACAGCTTGTAATCCTCCGTGCTAAGATGATTCTCCAGCAGGACACTGGCTCACTTTGGTCGTAGAGCAAGATCAGCCTTGGCAGCTGCACTGCAGCCTCAGGAACTGCTGGGCTGGGTCTCCACGTTATTTTATTCCTATGTTCTCCAAGTGACCTGGCACAAAGACAAAGAACATCACCCTTTTCCGTAACCCTAGCTTTGAGGCCATCTTGGCTCTCACAGATGTACGTGGTCTTCATGGCTTGCCATGCAAGAAGTTTCATCCCTTCCACTATTGAGGGGAAGTCTTGGATAACCTGCTGTTCAAACATTCAGCAGAGACACAATTTCTTTGTTTCTGCCCCATACTTGGAGCTGCATTCGACATATTCCTTATATTCACCAGGCCATTCAAATAAGATGCTATCAGATTGGGTACAGAAAGAACTTCCTTCAGCCAAAGTTCCCCCAACTTCTAATAGGCAAATAATGAAAGTTCAGGGGAAAAAGAAACAAAACCCTAGAAACTTCCTTCTGTGACTACACTGCTACCTCACAGGCAGAGAGAGATCTACATTTCTGATATAAAATAACAGAAGTAGCTTTAATGCAAATCCTCTGGAGCAGAAATCAACATCAAAGTCTGAATTCTCCTGAACACTGCTTCTCTCTATTTAAAGAAAATATCCACAAGCTTCAGTATAACTAATATGACATAATCTGTTAATTCCTCCATGTAGGTAGCCAGAAGTCTCCCAGAAAATATGCAAAGCAACTGGAAAGCAACAGTCCTTTTTGCGGTATTTTTTAGCACCATTTGGACATTGCAATATGCCTTCCTCTTCTTGCATACTGGCTAAAAGATGGGCAAAAAATAAATTTAGGAGATGTAAAATAACTTTCATGTAGAACAGATTACTTCATACTTCTCAAGCTTGAAAAAAATGAAGAATAAAAATTGAAAACATACTCCAAAGCAGCTGAGAATGCTGACTTCAAGCCTTCACTCTCTTTAGAGGGAGTTAGTTCAGTGTAAATTGAGAAAATATTACTAGCCAGGTGCGTCAGCATTGTACCTTTCCAATATATGAGTCCATTATTTAATAAAAACTAAGTGGAAATAAATTTATAGTGGACAATGTCTGTAATTTAGAAAGTCATATAATATTCTCTTTCCGGCTAAAAAAAATATAAACCTTGGAAAATTCAAAAACAAATTACCTTTTAAAAAAAAATCTAACGCCACGCATCACAAGGTCTCAGCTACGTCATTAAAAGGACTTCAGCATTTTCAAGGCAGACTGAAGCCTTTCAAGGCAGCATTTCTTCATACCAAACTCCAGGTCATCAAGTCACTTGGACAAGAAGTTCAAGCTTACCTGATCCTCAAATACTGCACACAGTTTATATCCCCACAGTGAATTCTACTGGAATTACATTAAACTTCCAGCAATTATTTTTTTTTTTCTCTCCATAGAAATCTCCTTTTCTTAAATTCAAAATATTTTGTGCAAATTGGAAAACTAAGATCCACTGAAAACATGATTCCCAAATTTGGAAATTGAAAATAAAAGCTTTAATCTCTTTGTTGTTCTAGATTTCTTTTGATTTGTTTCTAAATGTCAATGCAATTGCCCTTGCCTCTCCTAATCTGGCCATTTTATGGTACTCCAGAGGAACGCAAAGCAAGGAGCTCACACAAACTGCTCAGGGTGGAATCACAACTGGCTTGCAATTGTAGCTGAGAACAGAACAACTGGGTGCCGTGTTTCGTTCCCTTTCTCTGCGTCTTTATTTCTGTTTATTTTCAGGCTTTCTGGCATCATTTGTATCTACTCTCTTTTCTTTTTTATTCTTGAACACCAGCTGCTCTTTCCCATGACTTCCATCCCACTGAATCTTTTGAAGGATATTTCCATCCCACCTATATATTAATATATATATATATTTAAACTTAAATAAAACCCTCACTTGAACAGCAGAAACAAACAAAAACCCCTCCTCTCAGTTATTCTGTTCAAAATGGCATGAAATTTAGCTAGCATTTTGATAAAAATGGAGTTGAAGGTCACTTTTGAAAGGGTACGATATCTTCATTCCTTTAACCTCTTCTTGCTAATATTCTACAATTCACTTCCATGCTCAACTTTATGACTTGTAGAGCCCCACAGGAACCTTTAAAAAGATGACAAAACCATACGGAGACGGAAACTGAAATTCCCAACTTGAGTGAAATCTATCAAGCACTATTCTACCAGCACTGAAAAAGTCATACAAAAAGAAACATTTCCAAATAATTTTACCTGAAACAAAGATATATTGAAATATATATTAAATTCAGAAAAGTAGTGACCAACTTGCATTATTTATGTAACAAAAACACAACTGGCAGCACCAGGAGCTCACAGTCAGGTGGACATCAAGTATTTGTCTAGACATTGTTCATATACTACAGGTTGGAGCTCATATATGAATATAGTACACCTAAAAATGCATTTTAAAACAGAATTTTTTTTCTTCTTCTTCTTTTTGCCTAGCTGGTAAGCTTTCAGTACTTACTGATAACAGCTATATTTTTAGACAGACTTTTATGCCTGATTACACAGTAATCCTCTTAATAATTTAGGATTCTGAGATGTCAAAACCTAATCTATGCACTTTGTTATCTCCTAAAGGAAATTCTCCAAAATTTTTCATAAACATCTGTAAAGCAGCATATGGATATCTATCAAAATATCTCTGCAAGAACATCAAATATGAGCAGGAAGGCAGATGTAAAGAAATAGAACCTTGAAATTAGTAACTTAGCCTGGGAAGGAAGATTTTTTTGGAAGACAGGGAAGGAGGAAGGAATCTAACAAAAAGGTACTATCAGTTCACACATATGGGGGATGTGAATGCATTTAAAAACAAACAAACCATTATATTAAGTCATAAGTTAAAAATGTAACCCAGAATTTAGTGAATGAGAGCATCACAGTTCGCTACTAATAACAATAAGCGAAAAAGCTTGCGGCAGGAAGGAACCTTCCCCGTGTCTTTATAACCTTGGAAAGTTTATTTCAATTAGTTTGACACTTTTTGAGGATAGATGGATAGATATTACATGAGGACTTGACGTGTTATATCCCCTAGTCCTCCAGGTCTACTTAACAGAGAGATAAATCCTTACTGCTATCAGTAGCAGATTTAAAGGCCACAGAAAAAAATCAATCACATCACACACTGCCTCTCTTTCTTCTCAGGGTGCAAGCTGGACAACATGTTAAGAACCTGCTTGCTTCCTGCTATGTTTTTTCCTTCATCAAAATGAATGGAGTCTTTTTTACAACTGATTTATAAGAACATCTTAACTGAAAAAATATGAAAAAGCTATAGAGTATTTATATAAATAGCGTTTATGTAAAAAGTACTTATATTCTTTACATATCAAGGACTCTCAATCATGTATTAAAAGCTTATTTTCACCACTTACAGAAGTGCTTACAAAGCCTCTAAGGGTAAAACACTTTCTTTTACCTTAATATCCCAAGCATGGAGAGGTAAAGCCCATGAGACGTCCTGCAGGACTCTGCATAATCCTAACGCATTTTCTCCATTGTGGCAGGAAAGAATAGCAATGCCGTGACTAGCACAGATTGAGGAGATGGCATCCATACAAACTGGTGGCCCCTAATGAAGGCGTAGAGCATCAGGCTCTCCAAGAAACGCACTACAACCGATCCCTGCTTCCTTACTCATCCACTGCAGCACCTTAAGGCCACTTCTCTTTCGCCAAAAATATACGCAGATGCATAAATGAGTACAGAACATCAGAGGTAGGCACAGGTAGGTAAATGACCTGCGCAAACCGTGCTGCCATAAAGGGCTGTGAAAGCATGATGAGAGATCCCTACTCATCCTCTGCAGGGGTAGAGGCAGCAGTGTGTTTACTTCAACTGTATGCAGGCGCAAGAGAGATTTCAAGAAGTCATAGGTTGGGGGAGAAGGAACCGAATCTTAATAAAGTAGTGGTATAAAGTGAAACAACACATTATTTTTAAGGGTTGGACATTAGAAAACATCACAAAACAGTCTACACTTGTAGTACCATATGCAATCAGTGTCCAAACAACAAATATTACTGTTTCATATTAATGACAGGTAACAGAAAGTTATCAACAGGATAAAACCTATAGGAAAATGTGTGTGTATGAAAAGCTTTATGCATATATTTTGTCTTGTTTTTGTTGTTGGTGGTGGTTTTTGATTTGTGTGTTTATTTGTTCTGTTGTTTGCTTGCCTTTATTATTTATTATTATTATATATTTTTTTTTACCTTCTACTGCTCTCTTGAAGAAAACTTTACAGCTGCCACATGTGACTACCCCATAATGACATCCGGATGCTTCATCTCCGCACACCAAACACACTTTGGAAGGTCGTGAAGATCCTGTTGATACACCTCTCAATGAAGAGCTAGAGGAAAAAATAAAAACAAAGTATAAGCCAGTTATGACTATTTCAAATCACATTTGCCATAACGTGAACTTTAGTTAAGAATTTATAACAGGTATTTTGCTCAGAGTACCTAATAATGAGGAAGCCATGAGTCTTTCTGGCAATGGCTGGCTCAACACGAGTTGCTTTTACTAGTAAATGAGTTTGCTTTAAAACATCCATAATCTATCAATGTTGATGTGAGAAGGTGCTCCAAGGGTAGATGATTAAAACTGAAAATAAAGATCAAAACCAAACCACTTTGTCAATGATCACGTAACTACAAATTTTCTTTTTCTTTTTGCTTTATGTGTTTTTCTTTCAAGATTTTCATAGCTCAAGCAGATCCATGGCAGACCTGCTAAGCCAGTGTTGCGATGCCGTGCGCTCGCGCTTGCGTCCTCGCTTCCTGTGCGGGACTGGTGCCGCTAACAGCTCAGCTTCTGGATCAGCTCTGGAGCATTTCCACGTTCTGCAAGTATATGATACCTTTCCATAGTACCCCAGGTGTCAGAAAAGAAGGGTCAGAGGTTTGGAAAACACTCTGGAGTTTCACAGGAGGATGCATCTTGCAAGCCCAGTTTCAGCTGTGCACTGCACTGAGAAAACATGGGGTATTTTTGTTGTTGGGGTTTCAACGATGACTCTCTGAAGGCATCTGCAGGAAATATTTCCCAGTGGCGGCTCTAAAAGACAGTGCTCTTCAAAAACAGCTCCCATGTCCTGAAGCGGTGAGTCTCCTCCCTCTCTCCCTGGGGAACTGGAAATGCCACCCTAATAAAATCTGCACGCTCAGAGAAACGTGCCACATGAAAGGAGAGCAGAGCTTTGGATCTCTCCCACGCCTTGGAAAGCTGGGGAGAATCTTTCCTTCAGCAGAGACTCCCCTCGCCTGGCAAACACGACCTCTTGCATTTCATCACCTATTACCATTTTGAATGCTGCCAAGCAATTGCAAGAGTAACTCCGAAAAACGTGACACCCGTGGTGAAATAATTTGATAGTTCAAACTGCAGGTCACAGAGGATTTCTCCATCAGTCATTGGAAAACAAAGTTCCCAGGTAGTCTTAATTCAAACATAAGACAACCAGCTTGCTCAGGAAATTTCAAGTATGCACACACTGCCGTTTTCCATTTTCTGTTTTCCTTTAAAGAGCTACACAGAGGTCAAATGATTTACCCAGAGGCACAGAGCGAATGTCACTCCGGATCAAGGACCACAAGTCTCCTGGCTTGCAGCTTTGCTGCAACATCCAAAGTAAATTGGCTTTTAAAAGACGGCGCTCACACACTCATCAGAAGGTTCCAAATAATGCTTCCCGTCTCTCTCTCCTCTGCTACATCTTCCAGTTTTATTCCTTATGCTATATATACTTGCATTGCATAACATAACGCTCCTCGATAATTGCTAGGTGCTTGCATTAGCTCTTCTATTAAGAGGGACACAGAGGAGCCTCACCAAGAAAGCGTTACAGAAGAAGGTTGATTTGCTCCAGTCCCATTTGTATCTAAGCACACTGTATTAACACCCTGTAAGGCAAGGTAGGTGCCTGGGGATTTCTCCGAACTACTTACTCAGGGTTGGATTTTAGCTTTCCATTTGGATTTGCTTAGGCACAGAATGGGACAAAAGGAAAAAAAAACCTTTTCCTTGTCCAGCATCATTCTTATGGAATGAAAAAAAGCTTCTTATTAAGCAATATTCTTCAAAAGTGTCTGTTTTCCAGAGAAAATGTCAATAGTCTGGGAAGGTACCTCCTCCAAAATGATTTTTTTTTAATACTTTTTCACATCTTTTGTCTGGAAAATTAAACATTTCCATTCTGACATTCCACTGTAATGCCTTGAGGCATTTGTAATTTTGATGCTGCATGTTCCCATTTCTTTCTAAAACCAGGAAAAAATTTCCTACCATATGACAACTATAATGCATCATCTTTCTACACTGAAAAAGATTTTTTTTCCCCTTTTTATACCTTAAAAAGGTAATTCAATGAAAGAGCTCTTCCTATGGAGAAGTAGAAGGTTCCAGGATATCAGAGTAGCATTTCAGAATATATACATATGTACTTATGTGTGTTTGTATATATCTGTGTTTGCTCATATTCATATTATTTTTCATTGAAAATATACAGTCATGTAAGATTTGCAATAGGTGAATGAACTTTTTTTTTTTTTTTTAAAAAATAGGATTATTGGGTTAAAAAGCAGTGAAGCCAAATTGAGATAACAGTTGTCATTAATTGCCTGCCCAGGACGTTGCCTACAGCTTATACTGTACAGAACTTATCTGGATGAAGGGCTTGAATACAGCTGAAAGATCCAGGGAAAGCCTGAATATAAAGCATATACTCAGCTATTCAGCAACAGCATCACAGTTGGACGCTTCACATTCTGAAATCAAATGCAATTTGCTTCTATACGTCCTTTTAATCGGTTCAAAAGAAAAATAGGTTACAATACCAATGAGGTATTTTTATTATGAAAAGGAAAATCCAACACAGAGAAATTCCTACTCTATTGCAAAGAAGCTTTGAAAGTAGCTGTTAATACTTAAATCTCCTTCAAGTTTCACCCGCTCAGGCTCTGCATCCCACTGAACACAGCACCTCGCTTGCTGGGGTTTTTTTTTAATTTCTTATGTTCTTTCCTCCAAGCCACGCGGAAATATCCTCCAGCTTAAAATGAGGTTATATTACTACATACAGGAGGCACAATGGTGTTTGCGCATTCATGGAAATAATAAAATACTGAGCTTGAAAATTATGTCCAAGTCATATTGCTAAATGTCAAATTGAGTCATTCTCTCCATGGAAGCTTTGCTTTTCTCCATAAGGGATGCACAGATCGTTACGCCTTTTCCTCCTAAATCCCCCTTTGCATCAAGATCCAAATGGCGAAGAAACCCTGCCCTCAACTCAAGCTTTGATGTCACACACACACACTTTTATTCGTGACTTTCATTTAATCAATTACTTAATTATTTAGTATAGCTTTATATTCTATTTATAGAGAAAAACACTCCACTAAAATAGCCCTAGCTTGAAAATGCTTTTCATATAGACTCTATCCTACTGAAATAGTTTCCTTTTAATTAGTTTTCCTTTGAAAAATCCCACATATTCCAAGGATGCAACTGTACAGTAAATTGGAAGGTGGAGAAAGCTACAAGCAGGTAACAGCAGATAAAAATCAGACACTGAATTCAATAGATTATAACAAGCATACACCTAAATTGAATCTTAGTTCTTGGTAGCTCAGTTTGACTCGCTGCATCAAGGTGAAAAGTTTTGTCACATAATGCATCGTTCCCTCTTTTGAAAAATGTAACTGATACTATAATTAAAGATGACCTTATAATGCAAACAGAACTTCATAATGATTCCTTGGGCAGCAATAAGGCTGTTGACAAACAGGTATCTGAATGGCCCCTAGAGCAGGAGCGAGTCCTTCAACGCCCAGAGCAAGCGAAGGCGCTGCTGTTGTACACACAAGCCGAAGTTAATGACTGACACATATTGCTCGGACACTCCACAGTTTTAAAACAGGAAATTGTGCTACTTCTAATAAAATACAGGGAGTGATGTTTGTGCAGAGCTACCTAGCTCCTAGCTCAAGGACCCATTCGTCAAGAGGACCACATCTGTTTTCTCTTGTCAAAACCCACTGACCACGCAGCTGAGAGCTGGGCAATGCTGCAATGGTTTGCTCTCTGAAAACTCCTCTTGGTGTTCAGCGTAAAATAGTTGCAGTGTCAGAACTGGGGCATCAGGATAGAGCTGTATTCTTTTGCATATGCAATTCTATTGTGTTGTATGTGAGGAAAGAAATATACTTATCAGAAATCACAAAAAATTCCAACCCCCAAAATCATCAAAACCATGAGCATATATTTTAATAATTAATAAATAATCCACTATCAGATAACACTCAAGTAAAAACTTTTTTAATGCTAATATTATTCCTAAACCATTAGACAATGGACTACTATTGATCCAGAAGAAAAATATCTTGTTATCAGCAATCTACCCTTATTATAAATTTTCAACTGAAGTGCCACAGCCCATCTGCTAGCTACCACCCCTGCTTTTAGATACCAGTGCTTCCTACAGCCTGACTAGGGCTTGTTACATTTATACCTCTACCACTGTATTTCTATAACCTAAAAAAAGGTTGCAAGACTCAAGGACAAGAAATGCACCAGAACATGCATGTTTCATCACAACAGTTTTACAGCCAAGGGCACCGTTTAATGATGCCAAATGGATATTCTAAATTATCTGTAAAATAGCTGCTTCGATGGCTGCCCCAGTATTTGTCATGTTGTAGGGTCTGTGATTAGGAATACCCGTGATTTATTATCTTCAACAGTGCGATCGCTGGCAGTTAATTACTGACCTTGACTAGCCATTGCCATCAAGCTCGTTTGCGTCTCGGCAAGTTATGTTTGGCAATAGCTGTATGGAGAATTAATTAGAAATAACAGATTTTGTAAAGGGTCAATAAAATCACGGATAATCCAGCATTTTAAAAGCTGATTATACACGTTATTATCCTTTTGAAACCAGATGTTATAGAGAAGCAAAGTTTGAGCAAACCTCTCCTCTCTGATGGCGAAACGAAGCATTCCAAAGGAGGACAAGCCACAGTAGGGGCCCCAAACCCAATTGCTACTATTTTTGTGCAAGGCCATGCAGGCGTTGGAATTTCAGCTCCAGGACAACTCCGATATTCATTTAGGAAACGCTGTACGGGTCACAATAAGCTGTCCAACAGATTATTTGACCACTGCATGGAGATCTTTGTCACAGTCTCTATCAGTGGCATTTACCATTTCCTAATACCAGTTTTGCCTTCTGTAACTTGATTTTTCTTAAAAAGTTTCCCTGTGGGAATACACCCCGGTTCTCTTCTACAGCTACTCACGTAAAGCAGATTAGCAGACTGGAAAAAGGTATTTCTTAAATGTCAGCCTGCA